CTCGCGCTGCGCGGACTCGCCCCGAGCCTCCGTGCGCCGCCGAGAAACGCCTAGGGAGGGGGTGGGGACACGGGGGAAGAAGGGGAGAGCGGGAGCGGGCCCGAGGGAGGAGGAAGAGATGGAGAGCGGGAAAGGCGGAGAAAGGTCGAGGAGAGACAGCCTAAGGACGAGACGGACGGGAGGAAGGGAAGGAGCTCCTCGGGCCTGGCCCCTGGACTGGGGTCAGTTTGGCAGGTTCCTCGTGGGCCCAGGACAGGGCCGGCCAAACCCCGCCGCTTGCTGCAGGGCTGGCTTTCAGACCAAGGGCACGGAGAGGTCGGAGCCTCCCCAGAAGCCACGCCTGGCCTGGTAGAGAAGGAAGGGACTCGGAACACGGCAGTGGGAACATCACGGTGGGGTGGCCTAGGTCAGCCGCTGTAGATCAGAGAGAGCTCCCCCGCTCCAGCGCCCGGCTCCTCCCCGGGTCCCTAGTACCCTCCCTCAGGACAGCAGGCTGGGCCCAGAACCCTGGCTTACCTCAACTTAGCCAAAGGGGTGAGCTCCCCTGGACTGGTCTCCACATTCCTGAGCAGAAGAGCCTGTGTGCTAGGTCTAGGGAAGGGGCCCCAGCCAGGGGTGGATGGCCCCACAGATTTCCCTAGATTCTGGCTCCACAGATTTCCCAATGGGGCCCTGAAACCTGCTCAGCCTCTCTTCATCCTTTCAAGTTTGAGAAATTTGGGCTTTGTACCGTCATTTAACATTCTCCAAACCTAGAAACTTGGCTTTGAGTGCCATCGCCTAGAAAAGGGACCTCACCGCACATCCTGACACCCAAACCTTGGACTTGACCACTGAATCGATTGCCTTTCCCCAGAAAAACCGAAGGTATATCAAGGTGTCCGGGTGAAGATCACAGTGAAGGAGCTACTGCAGCAAAGGAGGGCACACCAGGCAGCCGCAGGGGACAACGTAAGCATGAGCTCTTCACCCCCTCCCCAACTTGTGGCAGGCCTCATTCAACCCCATGTCTGGGAAGGTGTAGAGGCCAACTTAGGCCCCACTCACCATCCCCAGACCTCAGCTGTTTTTGTAACTTCTGTGCCCAGCTTCATCCAGTTCACCACAGGAAGCCATAGAGAAAGAGAACAGTAGGGCATGGGGCTCAGGATTTGGGGGAGCCCATCCCCCATGATCAAAGTTGAGAATAAAGGTTTGTTGGTCCTCTGCAAGGAGAGGAGCAGCCAGCAGGTAAGTAGGTTACTGTATCAGGAACAGTGTATGTACAGCCATCACATATTCATAGAATATCTGTCCCAGAAATTCATTGCATTTTAGGGAGTCCTTCCAGGATAGCGTCTCCGTGGAAAATCCTCCTCTCCCTCCTCATTCTTCTGGAACTCAGCCTCTGAGGTCGTTTATCTGAAAATCACCAGTCACTGAAAGTCCCCAGCAGGAAAGAGCCATCTCTCTGCAGAGGAACAGCTTAGAGTGTAGATCCACTTTCTTAAGATGTAATGAAGCCTTACATGGTTCCAGATTATTACAGAATTGATCTGGGCAGTCATAAAAGTGCCCTGACACATTATATATATATCCTTCCTAAAGCAGATAAGTACTGCCAAAAATTCTCAGTGCAGCAGACACAGAACCAAATGAACTAGGTGGGCTTATCCCCCAGGAGAAAGCACCTCATCACTCGAAAGCCCTTGACCATACAATTGCTTGTGGGTTGGTTTGGACGTGGATGTAGGATGGACAGCTGGGGCTCCTATTGCCTGTGTTAGGATTGGTCCTTCTCCAGCCTGTTGGCATCTGCCCCACAGCAGTTTTTGTGACTGGTGTTGTTTGTGTACAATGTACGACTTCATGAAATGGGAGGAGGCAAATGATATAGGGATGGCAAGCACAGATTCCAGAACAAATGGACTGGGTTCTGATCTCAGCTCCTCCATGGTGTGTATCTTTGAGCCAATAGCTCAATCTCTCTGGCCTCAGTTTCCTCATCTTTAAATTGGGGATAATAGGATTGTGTGAGGGTTAAGTGAGCTATTGCAGATAAAGCACTTAGAAGAGTACTTTCTACATAGTAAGTGCTCAATGAATGTTAGCTATCATTATTATTATTTGGGAAAAACAAATAAAATAAAATTCCAACCAAGGATTGAAAACCAGCTACTTAGTAATGTTCATTCACACCCTTTGCTCAGAGTTTAGATTTCAAGTATGGGCTTGCTGTGATTTGGCACATACAGCTGGAGAAGTTAGTACTTCCATGTGCAGAATTGCAGTTAACACAATAAAACTTCCTTACTTTTGCAGAGGGACTTACACTGGCCCTTCTTTTAAATCACTTTTGCACATTCATTATTTCATTTAGTTCTTATAACAATCAGTGGAGGTAAGTAGATCAGAGATATGTATGTATCCTTCTATTACTGCTAAAGTTCAAAATCTTGTACTCGCTAAAGGTAGAGCTGAAAGTAGAGCCAAATTCTTTTTCTTAGCATGAAAACCCTTTCCATCTATTGGCTCTCTAAATTTAACTTTCCATAGATCCAGCCATGCTAAGTAGGAGTCTGGAAGCCTCATCCCCTTTAGTGCAGAAATAGTTATAAATTAACAAAACCAGAAACCAGAAACTGGGAAATGTTTCTGGAGCAAAAAAAAGAAAGAAAAAAAAAGAACCATCAAGATGTTCATAACAAACTATAATCTTTCATTNTTATTATTATTTGGGAAAAACAAATAAAATAAAATTCCAACCAAGGATTGAAAACCAGCTACTTAGTAATGTTCATTCACACCCTTTGCTCAGAGTTTAGATTTCAAGTATGGGCTTGCTGTGATTTGGCACATACAGCTGGAGAAGTTAGTACTTCCATGTGCAGAATTGCAGTTAACACAATAAAACTTCCTTACTTTTGCAGAGGGACTTACACTGGCCCTTCTTTTAAATCACTTTTGCACATTCATTATTTCATTTAGTTCTTATAACAATCAGTGGAGGTAAGTAGATCAGAGATATGTATGTATCCTTCTATTACTGCTAAAGTTCAAAATCTTGTACTCGCTAAAGGTAGAGCTGAAAGTAGAGCCAAATTCTTTTTCTTAGCATGAAAACCCTTTCCATCTATTGGCTCTCTAAATTTAACTTTCCATAGATCCAGCCATGCTAAGTAGGAGTCTGGAAGCCTCATCCCCTTTAGTGCAGAAATAGTTATAAATTAACAAAACCAGAAACCAGAAACTGGGAAATGTTTCTGGAGCGGAGTCTGGAAGCCTCATCCCCTTTAGTGCAGAAATAGTTATAAATTAACAAAACCAGAAACTGGGAAATGTTTCTGGAGCAAAAAAAAGAAAGAAAAAAAAAGAACCATCAAGATGTTCATAACAAACTATAATCTTTCATTAAGGAGCTTTGGTACTTTGTAGAATTCTGCTTCAACTGCACTTGGAGAAGTCCCATTTGGGCATGACAGTTCCCTTGCTGTTGGGTCTTTACAGATTGGTTTGACCACTCTTCCCTTGTTAGCTAGCTACAGGAGCTAAAGCAAGGGTAAAGCATTTCACATGTATATCTGACCAGTTTTGTTCCTGGAGCACTTGGACTCATCTTGAGTTTTTCTGAATTTCTCCTCGAGAAATAAAGCAGCACTTCTGAACCAGTGCCTTGCAGGAACATGCAGAGTGGAGCCTGCTCTTCTTCCTGGAAGATAATATCGACCCATGCCCTCCCAAGCACTTAGGAGTAACACACACATAATTTAATTGAGAGCGAGATGTAAAATTCCTCACTGGGAGCCATCAGAAGGATCTGAGATTCTAGGAAAGTTGTGAGGGTACACTCAGTAGGCAAAGATGGCAGATACCAGGGGATAATTTATGCCTGCTCCTTCATGTAGATCTTTATGGTTTAATAGAGATGATCTCCAATTTGTTCAATAGTTGAAGGGTGCCTCTAGAAAACTTTAAGCCAAGGAGAGAGTTAATTGACCCAAATATTACAAAGCAGGAAGAAATTTATCTTAATGTGTTACGTAGTCAGAGTAGCATCCACAATTTGAAACTTTAAGAAGGCGATCATGAATGGAAGTTATAAATTGAGACAAATATCTAGGTCTCATTCAGTGCCAGAAGAAACCATGTGCATGCCAGACTGGTAAATTCGATTTAAAAAAACTTATTTCAGCCAGATCAATTTGCAAACACTCCCCTACACCACCCCCACCCACACCCACACACACACACACATTTCTTTTGCCTTTAGGGTAAAGGAAACTTGAGTTAGCACTTATCAAAAGATAGTTTACATTTATTTTTTTTAACCACTAATTTTTTAAAACAGGCTTTATGTGTTTTTATTAATTGTAGATTGTGGATTTTTGTGCTGTTTGAAATCTAAGAGAAAGGTGCCTTTCTTTGTATTCTTGGAGCAAAGTAGAAAGTGAACCCATGACTAGAAAGATAATATCAAGTAGTATATTGTAAACATACCTCAGGGAGATAACTTGGGGAGGGAGGCAAACAGGCCAGTCCAGGGGAGGAACAACTGAGTTAATGAGAGCTCTACAATGAAGCAAATTTTTTAAAACCCACTCCTTCCATGTCCTTCAGCTCAAGCTGCAACCAAAAATTTGCATAAAGAGCTGGTAAAGGATTCCAGCTTCCTGGTTCATGACATTACAGCATGGATCATTTTCAAAATTAACACCACCTCCTGTTTCAGCAGTGGCCGACTGCAGTTTTCCCAGTGGCTCCTTGTACAGGAGTGAGTATTCCCTGTAACTCAAGAGAGGTGTAGTGAGCCTGGATTCCCAGCACAGAATCACAGAGCAACGCTGGTCTCTTTAAACTTTAAAGCCACCATCTGAAATCTAAAAAAAAAAAAAAAAAAACCCTAAATTACTCAGTCAGTGTAATTATCAATTCAACTGTAAATGCAGGCTGCTTTGCTTTAAATAGTTAAAAGGAGAAGTCTCATAAACTTTAAGTATTTAAATGCAGTGACTAAAAAAAAAGAGATTTTTATAAAAAATAGTAAAAAACTTACAAAGAGTTGAAATATTTCCTGATCATGAACTAGCATATAAATAGGCTTCAACTCACTGACTACAGCTTTAAGAAAATATTTTCTATTTTAATATGTTATAGATAGTAAGCACATGTGAATTTTTTAGCTACTCAGGATTAACAAAGTTAGGAATTTTGTTCTTTTGGGGAAACAAATTTCTAAGGCTAAGCAGCCAGATAATATAAAAATTTTGAGAAAAATGACTAAATCATAGTTGGCTGAGATTGAATAAATATTATTCTTTATTAATTTTAAATTAAATAGTTTAATAGAAAGGCTCTTTGCTGAGTTTTCTTGAACTGTTACATTTCTGTGACACAGAAATTATTTATATTAATTTTTATCAGAATTAATAACTTTTAAAATTTAAGTAGGAGAATCTGATATTAGGAAAAAATCCCCAAATGAGCAAACATAAAAATTGAATCTAAGTAAAATATAACATTGGTTGTATTTAATGAAGGCAACCTGTTTTTTAGAAGAAAGAATCTTGTCTTACCTTAGAGCAGAAGGAAACATAGTTCCCGTCGAAATGTCTTAAGCTTTCTCGTTACAGAACTCTGATTTCACTTTGCTTCATGGTCACATTCTTGCTTTGGCAGCTGTCTGGAGGCAGCAGTATCCACCTTTCAGACCCAGCCACACCATCCTCTGCAGGTCAGTACAGCTAGCATTACACTTCCCTCAAAAACTCTTCCAAAAGTCCATCTCGAAAGTATTTCAGTGCCTGATTCAGGGGTTAAGATAGGCACCACCATTTATCTGGAGGCAGCAGTATCCACCTTTCAGACCCAGCCACACCATCCTCTGCAGGTCAGTACAGCCAGCATTACACTTCCCTCAAAAACTCTTCCAAAAGTCCATCTCGAAAGTATTTCAGTGCCTGATTCAGGGGTTAAGATAGGCACCACCATTTAATTGGAATCCAACCAATCAGACAGTGAAAAAGGCAAAGTGACTGCAGCAAAAAAGCAAGTGCACATTTTTGTCCATTTCTGAACTGTCTATTCTCTGCTGCCTATTTTGTCCCATGAATTCCTTCATATTTATTCCAATTCCTCATCTCCAAATAACTAAGCTTAACTCCACAATCAGAATTATTTTTCAGAAACATATCTTTTTTCAGTGTCCTATCAGATGGAATACAGAACATCCTGAGGCACTAGAATAAAGCCTTTGGTCTTGCTCATTTAGTTTCTACCCGACAGGGGCTTCCCTCCCCTTCTTTTCTCTCTTCCCAGAAAGCAGTTCAAA